ACTACACAGAGACCGTCTTTTGTGCTTCAAGCACAGCGGTAAAACCTCCACTGTGTGAAGGAGACAGTCACACAGTATAAGTGCTCAGGGAACCTGGATATATGTACCCCAAAGCAGCAAACCAAACGTTGGAAATTTTTACACGGGGGAGAAGAATTAATGGAGAAATGATCATTTGAATGTAAAACATAAGTGTAAATAGGGCAGTTGAAGTGACCCCTAAAGAACATCATTGTTCATGGAAAGGTAAGATGGAAAATGTGGTCTGAGAATCATCTGCACACACCTGGCAGCTGAAGCTACTTGAGAGCATAATTCAGTAAGGTCGGGTTGGAGAAGAGGGTAAGCCAAGGGTCAGGGAGAGACTTTGAGCTGTGGGTGGAGGAAAGGCAAAGTTCTAGGAAAGAGAACAGGTGGAATGGGGCAGTAAAGGATTCAAGACAAGTCAAAGCACACACACACACACACAAAAAAAAAAAAAAAAAACATCAAGGCAGGCAATGGGAATATGGACAGATCAAAATGGATGAATTATCTAGAGATCAACATGTCTGCATTCTTACTAACCACCACCTGCAAGGGTGGACCTGAATGATCCAATATGGCAGCCACCAGCCACATGGCTACTGAGCACTTGTAGTGAATACAAGCCAAGATGTGCTGCAAGTCCAAAATGCTCACTGGATTTCAAGCACTTCAGGGCAATTTTTTTTAATCTCATTTTCATATGTTGAAATGATGAGTCAAAATATCATTAAAGTGGATTTCAAACTTTGGCTTTAGTCTTTTTAATGTGTTTACTGAAATTTTTCTGATATTTCATGTTTATTTATTTATTGTGGTGCTGGGGATTGAACCTAGGGCTTTGTGCATGCTAGGGAAGTGCCACACCACTGAGCTACATCACCAGCCCTATTGGACATTTATATTTTCTATTATTATTATTATTATTATTATTATTATTATTAGTCATTGCAGTGCTGAGAATGGCACCTGGGACCTCATGCATGCTAGGCAAGCACTGTACTACTGAGCAACACCCAAGCCCTTTTAAAATTACTTATGTGGCTCACATTATATTTCTGTTGGACGGCATTTCTCTAAATGGACTATAGACTTCACTATGAAAGGTAAAAAAATTAAAACACTGTTAATAGAAGAAAATGCAGAATATCTTTGTGATTTGGGGGTAGAAAAGACATGAAACTTCAAAAACAAATTTTTTAAGATAAAAATTGATTTCATAAAAAATAATTTCTGACCGATGAAGGACACTGTGGCCAAAGTTAACACGGTGAAATGAGAAGATTTTTTAAACCAATGCAGAGCAACATCCAGAAATATGCAAGAAATTCCTACACATCAACAACAAAAAAGAGACTGCAATCTGAGACACAGATAAAAGACACAGAAAATTCATGAGAGTAAACCCAAAAAACTTAAGAAGAAATTCTTAAAATCATTAGTAACCAGACAAATGCTAATCAAAACAACAAAGAACTATGGCTACTGAGCACTTGTAATGAATACAAGCCAAGATGTGCTGCAAGTCCAAAATCCTGGCAAAAATTAGGAACCCAGATAATGTCAAACATTATGGCAGAAACAGAAATAACAGGGCCCCTTGTGCCCTGCTGGAGGAAGGGTATACCAGCACAGCTTTTCCAGAGAACAACTTGGCACTACATAGACAAGCTAGTTTTCTGTATACTCACCAAGCGTTGCAGCAATATCCTCCCCCCACACACTACCATGAGAATTAGGGCACACACATAAGGATGTTAATTAAAACCTTTTTCATAATGATGGGGAGCAGAGGCAGTATTCTATATCCAGAGATGGTAGATAAAATGTGTGGCTGCACAGCATGGAGTATTACTTAGGAGTTAGATATCACATAGCATAGACTGCTTAATGGAGAAAAGTAAGAAAGAGTGAGCTATACACACATAATTTACATAATTTATGCAAATATACGATGGATGAACTTTGCTTAGGTCCATATTAGAAGAGGCCAACTGTGAAAAGACATTTGTTAACAATCTAGGCAAAACTGGAATACCAATATAATTAACACAGTATATGGGCTCAGTAGGTAGTGTGCTTGCCTAGAGTATATAATCCCTGGGTTTGATCCCCAGCATCAAAAAAAATGCTGATGTTCTAAATTAGAAGTAGATAATGAGGTACTTATGGGGAAAATAGCATTATATCTTGATGTTTGTTTCAAAATACTCCAGGGGAGGGGAATAAAAGGAAAGGCTGCTTGAAATAAGATCAGCAAAATGCTGATAATGCCAAAGCTGGATAAAGTGTCCAGAGGAGTTCATTAACCTATTGTCTCTACATTTGCACTTTTTTGACAATTTCTTCAACAAAAAGTTTTTGAAAAAAAAAATGAATGAAAAATGTCTTCCAAGAGCAGAAAGTAATATACATTAAACTTATTAGAATTGTTGCCTATGGAGGAATGAGAATGGAGATAAAAAGGAATAAATTTTAAAATGGGGGGAAGGAGATGGAATGGTACAGTCAGCTAAGAGAACAAACAGTGTTAAGAACACAGAGGAGACTGGGCATGGTGGTGTGCACATGTAATCCCAGATACTCAGGAGGCTGAGGCAGGAGGACTGCAAATTTGAGACCAGCTTCAGCAATTCAGCAAGACTCTGTTTCAAAATAAAATCTTAGAAAGGGCTAGAGATATGGCTCAGTGGTAGACCCCTTTCCTAGCATGTATGATGGTCTAGTTTCAATTCCCATGTGATAGTCCCAATTCTTCCTCACTGGGACCAAAATACCTGACAAGAACAATTTAGAGGAAGAAAAGTTTATTTTGGCTCACAGTTTCAGAGGTCTTAGTCTTAGGTAAGCTGACTCCACCACTGTGGCCCTGAGGTGAGGCATTGTGGCAGAAGGGTGTGTGGAAGGAAAGCCACTCACCTCATAGTAGCCAGGAAGCAGCAAGAAAGAGACAGAAGCCAAGGGGACAAGATGATTACATTTTGAGACCTACTTCCTCCAATCACACCCTGCCTGCTTATAGTTATCACACAGCACAGTAGTAATATTTTCATTATTAATCCATCAAATGAATTAATCGACTGCTTAGGTTACAGCTCTCATAATCTAATCATTTCACTCTGAACATTGCTACATTGTCTCCTGAGCTTTTCGGGGACACCTCATAGTCAAAGCACAGCACTCAGTACAGAAACATAAACATACAAACACCATACAAGGAAAGGAATGGTGAGTGAAATGAACGTTTTAGAAGGATGAAAGTTACTAAGGAAATATTAGCTTCAGAAAATTGGAGAATTGGAGAGAACAGAATCCAAAAGACACTATATGAAGTTTCAGACTATCTCAAGAAGTCTCTTCTGGAGCATCAGTGGAAAAGGAGAAGGGAAGGAGACAGGTAAATAGAATTTACCTGAAATCGCTTTTGCTAATATGGAAGATAATAATAATAATAATAATTATAGTAATTATTATTATTATTATTAGATTAATGAAAGCTGTTTTAGAAATGGTGAAGGAAGCTTCTAGAGATGTCCAAAAGTAAAAAGTCTGAATACAGAGAGAAACTGGAAATGTCCAGAGAAAAGGGAAAGGGACAGGAGAGGTAAATAGAATTAGCTGGGAGCCAAGTACCAGTATGGGTTATTAAAATTGTAAAGACAGTGCATCTTCGGAAATGGCAGGGAAACAAAAAGAATTCAGTGAAGCAAACATAATCAAGTAGTTGGGTGGAGGAGGGCAACTGAGAAATTGCCTTGAAAGTATCAGAGAAGCTGTTACGGAGACACCACAGTGAAAAATGGTGATTGACAACCACCGGGCACCTCTACTCTGAGATAAATTCAACCCATCAATCTCCATAAATGTCTCTGCTTTGTTGGAGGATGACAGCGAACCCACCTAATAGCTTCCCTTTTGCCACCAGGAGGTGCCCTTAGACCGCAGCTGAATTTTGAATGCCAGAAAGTCAGTCGGGAGATTCACAGTTACCTTCCTCCAGTATCTCGGTGAGGACTTGGAGACCTGTCCCACCCTAAAGCAAGGAATCTGTCTCGTCCTCTGTACCAAGTATTCTTTTGGTGTGTCCACCAACGACACACATTTTGAGCTTATACTCTGGCCAGAGAGAGAACCAGCCACGTATATAGATGAATAAATTGTAGTTTGGGTAGATATACCTCCTAGTCCTATCCCAGCTCTATCGCAGATCATCTTCTGTTCCTTGGTTCTGTTTTCTCACTAATGAATAACTCGTTTGCAATAAAAAAAAATTTAATTGTTTAAAGCGCTACAAAAAAATAAAAGTCAAGGTTTGCTGTGTTTCTGAAATGTTGCCCCCAGCTGCCATAAAAACGGACAAGCCAGCTAAGTAACTCCCTTTTAGGACCCTGTGAGATAACCCTTTGTCATCAGCAACCCCTCTGCAAGGGCCCAATAGCGCGACCCATTGTGATGGCTAGCGACTCCCCCGAGCTTCTGAGTTTACCCCCACAGTGGTTGCGTCCCGAGCCCTTCTGACGCGGAGCTGCGACCCCCTCCCAGGGCGGTGATTGGCTAGCCGGGGGCGGACTGACCTCGGCCCCGCAGCGCCGTTCCCTGCTGGCCCCGCCCCCGAGCCGGGCGACCATTTGTGTGCGGCCGCGGGATTGGTCGCCCGGCTCCCGCGAGGGGGAGGGGAGGAGGCCGCGCGCACCCGCGCGTGCGTGAGCTGGAGCGCGAGAAAGGGCCCGGTCGCGCCGAGGCTCGAGCGGCCGTCGCCATTTTGTCGGGTTCTCTTTGACGCGGGAGCCGCCGCCACCGCCGCCGCCACCGGGAGGTACTAGGGGGTCGTGTGGGTGTGCGGGGAGCCGGGGGCGGGCGGGCCGGGCCCCTCGCGGACGGGCTTTGGGCTCCTGGTGGCGCTGTGGGCAGCCCCGGGAAGACAACCAGGGGAGGCGGGGCCGGACGGAGGGGGCGGGGCCGGGGTCGGGCCGAGTCTTTGTTGGGTGAGGAAGGCGGAGGTCGGGCCGCTGCCGGGGTCCTGGTTTGGCCCCGAGCGGGCCTTTTATCTTAGAGCGTGTGGGAAGGCGATATCGTGCAGTGCAGAGGTACACAGATTTCCCTCCAAAACCGTGTCACCCGGGACACTCGGGTGCCTCTTGCCCTACGCTTGCTTTTTCCTCGCTGTTTAGACATGCAGCGCCAACCCGCTGCTTTAAGCACGCCTCCTCTCCGGGAGATGCACTGTGTTGTGCATGCTGACCTCCGACCTCCTATTTGCTTGTCACTCGTACCTCGCAATGCTCATTGTCAAACCTTCCCGCCTCCCTCGAGGAAGAATAATGAACTTCTCTGGAAGGGTCTTGAAGGTGCCTAGAACTTTGGAGGATTAAACAGAAATGTTGCGGTGCACTTGAATTTCCCACCCATCCGACTTTCGAAATCTTGTTTCTTCTCTTCCAGGCTCTTGTCAGGATGGTGAAGCTGTTCATTGGAAACCTGCCCCGGGAGGCCACAGAGCAAGAGATCCGCTCACTCTTCGAGCAATATGGGAAGGTGCTGGAATGTGACATCATTAAGAACTACGGCTTTGTGCACATAGAGGACAAGACGGCGGCCGAGGATGCCATACGCAACCTGCACCACTACAAGCTGCATGGGGTGAACATCAATGTGGAAGCCAGCAAAAACAAGAGCAAAGCTTCAACCAAGTTACATGTGGGCAACATCAGTCCCACTTGTACCAACCAAGAGCTTCGGGCCAAGTTTGAGGAGTATGGCCCAGTTATCGAATGTGACATCGTGAAAGATTATGCCTTTGTACACATGGAGCGGGCAGAGGATGCAGTCGAAGCCATCAGGGGCCTTGACAACACAGAGTTTCAAGGTGAACTGCTTTGGGGCCTGGGTGGCAGAGCTGAGTGGGGTTTAGCTCAAGACAGGTGCAAGAACAAGACCATGGGGCTGGCAGGATCTTTTAACTGGAAATAGTAGATTATGTCTACTGCTCTTAAGCATAACTTACTCTTGGGGAAGCAGAACACTTCCCTTGTTCATGTTTGCTGAGATGTTCCTCAACAGCTATGTAGGACCACAAAGTGTGGGTCACTTTATCCTGTGGTCTTCATTCATTCAAATGCTGATGAAACTGTTTGCTGGGGAGAAGGGAGGATAAAGGTCTGTGACTTACCTACTTCTTTTGTTATGCCTAAGAAGCCTTTGGTTTGAGGGTTTAAATGCATAGGGTTTATAGTCCACTGCCTTGGGTGAGGGGTAGTGATGGGGAAAAGATATTTAGAGGAAGCCCTATATTATAAATCTGAGTGGTGAGTCTGGATTTGGGGAAGTGTCTTTTGGGTGAATTTGTTAAGTCTTTGGACTATACAAGCACAACCAAGAAAAAAGTAAATTTTTCTAAAAATTCAAGGTTAAATGGAAATGATAGTCTTACTTCTATGATAAAATTTCAGTTAAGCATCATACAGTGTATCATTGTTTATATTGATAATAAAGTTATATTTGTTGTCATTAATACCACGAGAGGATATCTGAAAACTCTAGAACTGTGCTAATATGGTAGCCTCTAGCCACATGTGGCTGGTAAGTTTAAATTAATTGAAATTAAATAAAACAAAAAATTCACTTTTTCAGTTGTCCTGGACACATTTCAAACAATAGTCATATGAGGGTAATGGCTATTGAATTAGCACATGTATAGAATATTTTCACTATCACAGATAGTTCTGTTGAATAGCATTGTACAGCAAGGTTTTTGTAAAAGTATCATGTTGGACTACACATTCACAGCCACTTCTGGTTCTTAAAATAAACACCCTTTTTGCCCTGAGTGCCACTAAAAGAGTTGTTAAGTACTTCGAGTTTCTCTGCTAAACTAGAAAGCAGAATGGAAAGAATAGGAAAAATATAGAAATTGACCAGAAAAAAATGAGAAACTGTACAGATAATGGAGTTTAGTGATTGAGGACCATCAAGTATATGTGGCTTCAGCCAGTGATGCTTTGGTCTTTAGCTACTCTTAAAAACATAGGGCAAAAGTTGCTGGTATTAATTACCAAGTGGCCAAATGTTTTAACCTCTTTCTGCTTCATTTGCCCTACTTACAAAATAGAGTTAATGATCCTTGTTGTACCATCCCCACAGTATGGTAGTGAGACTAGGATGAGGTAATAGTTGTGAAAATGTTTCCACAGTGAAAGCACTGTATGATGAAAGGTGAGTGCTGTTTGCAACCATGAGTGTTTGTATTGAGAGAAAGTTATTTAAAATGTGATAGGATAGTTAAGCTTTTCTTATTTGTTTTTTAAATTTATATTTGTTTTTCTTTTATTATTTTGGAATGCTGGTGCACTTTACCTTTAAAAGTATTGTTGTTTTCATTCAATGGTGGAAGGAGATCATGGATGGAGAATGGGGAAAGAGGGTTCTCTCTTAACAGGTAATAAACAGAATTTAAAAGAATGTAAATTCAGGTACAGACTCTTCAGAGGTGTTGTAGCAGTGATACTACATGCCCTTACCTTTTAATGTGCAGTTGATTAAAAGGAAAAGGGCAAAAATATGTATAAGGAAAATCAGTTAACTGGAGGAAGATGGCTTAGAATGTCTATTTTTTTGTTTGTTTTTATTTTTGCAGTGCTGGGGATTGAACCCAGGGCCTTGTGCATGCTGGGCTTCTGCTCTACCACTGAGCTATGCCCCTAGCCCTGAGTGTTTTAATAAAACTGGTGTTATTACTTATGAACTAGATACCTGAATAATGCAATGGATCCCATGAGACATTTAAAAGTGTTATCATTTCCTTAGAAGCACAGACACTAAACTGAATTAGGAAAGAAAAATCTTTTACTCGGTTTTTATGTTGTGTGCCTTTGCCTTCTGGAGAGTGATCTTTGAGTTACACATGCAGACATTTTTGTAACCTTCTATATTTTCCCAAAATGACAAGTTTATTATTGGAAAATAAATCAGTTTTGCAGAAAATACAATGTAGATATCAGTTTGCATAATTTTCTAATAAAAGCCTTTTTAGTCATCTACTAATGAAGATAGCCTCTGGAAAAATGCCACTTTGGGCATCTTCTGAACCTTTATTTATGTACTTAATGGTTGCCATTTAGGTTTCTGCATTGTATGATTTCTAAAAGGAAGCAGTAGAATCTGAATTATCTGTGCCTTTCAGTATCTGTTTTCTCTCCATAAGCAGCAGGGGAACATAGTTGTATTGGAAAGGAAGGTGTTCCCAAATTTATATGTCTTGTTTTCAGAATTAAATCAGAGTACTGCTATATATCAACTACATCTCCAGCCATCTCTGGATCCTGGCACATAATAGGAGCTAAGAAATTAGGACCCAATTTTTCCCACCTCAGCATTTTAATATTCTCTTCTGATCCAGCTTTCAAGATAAAATAGTATTATTGTGCTAATTTTGTGAGAAATTTTGGCATATTTCAGTAACTTTGAGGTCTCAGAAAATCTTTTAAACTTCTGGCCTATCTACATGTAGTAGAATAGAGTGGTAGAATTTGTCTTTGCCCTGATTCTGAAAGGTAATAGACAAACACAGTACTTTTTAATTATTACAGGAACTTTAAGGGGTTTAAATTAAAAGCTTGGTTATGACTGTGTTGGCAAGACTATTTAAAAAAAAAAAGCCTACTATCACTTTATTATAGATGTTTTTTAGTTCTAGATAATTTTTTTTTAATGGTATCCTTTTCACAACTACACCGATAGATTTTGATTTTGCTACAGATGTTTATACACTTAGCAGTTCCCACCCTCTAAGAAAAACAGAAATGAAGATTGGATTTAGTATCAGAAACATCAAGGTAAAAATCACTGGATTTTGTTTCTCTAAAAAACAGACCCAGAATCTATAAAAAATAAAATGCAAGTTTAATTGGATTTTTTCCCCTTACAAATGTTACTTCTAGGTCTCTGGATTGGCTGCTTTTTAGATTATCATTGTTACTTTGACTTCAGAATTAGAGCACAGTTTGTGTCTGTCACATAGCTTAATGTGTATGTTTGAAAGCCAAGTAATTTATAATTTTATAGTCTAAATTATAGAGAATTCTATATTTGATATATAAGAGTGTGTGTGTGTGTGTGTGTGTGAGAGAGAGAGAGAGAGAGAGAGAGAGAGAGAGTGTGTGTAGGGGCAGAAATCTATTTCTTTTGTAAGCATAGGTAACATTGAATAACTTGTAAAAATTAGATGCGAGTATTTAAATCTCTGAAAACTGGGATGGCTCACTAAAATGCTGCTTGCAGAGTTATTGCTGCTTGGTGTCTGCTAATTGAGTCTGGTGATGGTGGATGCTGCCTGTTCATTAGCAGCTGGAGGTCAAAAGCCTGAACATCTTTGTTTCTGCTGAAGTGAGTTTTGGGGCAGAACCAAGTTAGACTAAAGTGATAGGACTGCACTAATCCACAACCCTCTCATGGTTAGTGCATGGTGCTGTTTTGGCTCCCATCCTAAATCAGGTTGTTCCCAAAAAGATAGTTGGAAGTACAAGGCTTCCTATTTCACAGCTGTATTCAGAACAAGACCTATTAAAAGAGAGCAATATGCTGATGGCAGAGGGGGAAACTGTTCTGAGCAGCCCTTAAAAATGACAAGAAGCCCATTTTCTCTATTTTTACTGGCCTATGGCCACAATTTTTTTAAAGTATTGACTTGATCTCCAGAATTTTAATGCAGTTCAGTACTAAATTACTGCCAGCACCACTCCCTTTTCCTGAACTGCTTTTAAAGACTCCAGATGCTTTCATCTATCAGTAAGGGACCTTGAGTTTGGCTGCACACAGCCTTGAGCAAAGGTGGTTTCTTCTCAAAGCTGTTCCTCAATGCTAGTCATTTCTTAGAAGCATGGGTGTGAATTGTTTGAATGGGGGCCCAGAATCCTTTAGGCAAATGCTGCAATTTTCAAACAAACAGAAAATCCCCTATAAAGAATTATAAGTACTGAACACAGTGACATAAGTCTATAATCCTGGCTTCTCAGGAGGCTAAGGCAAGAGAATTGCAAGCTCAAGGTTAGCCTCAGCAATTTAGCAACGCCTTGTCTCAAAAACTGAAAAGGGCTGTAGATGTAGCTTAGTGGTAGAGCACCCATGGGTTCAGTTCCTAGTACATTAAAATAAAGAGGGCTGGGCTTGTGGCTCAGTGGTAGAGCGTTCACCTAGCATGCATGAAGCACTGGGTTCGATCCTCAGCACAACAATAAAAAATAAAGTTATTGTGTCCACCTGCAAAAAAAGATATATATATATATATATATATATATATTTTTTTTTTTTTTTTTTTTTTTTTTAAGAAAAGAATTGTAAACTAAGTGGCAAGTTGAAATCCTGATTGTTCCATTACATGGGAACACATTATCCCTAAGCAGCTGGTACTGTTTTTAAGATCTTCCTAATTCTTGTTGAGAGGCCTTGGTCAGAGTTTTCTGCAGTAGAGATGGATTAGCCCTTGAGGATAAAAGTGAGGATGAGGTTAAAATGTCTTATTTCTCAGAAATACAGGGGATGAAGCAATTGATGAGCCAGATATGATTTGGCATCCAACATAGCCTTCCCCTGCAGAAACTGCTGAAGGAAACAAGGTGGAAAGAAGACTGCAATTGGGTTTTGTTGGTGGTGATTGAACCCAGGGCCTTATGCATGCTAATGAGCACATGCTCTTCCCACTGTGAAACAACCTGACCTATTGCTGGGGTGGTCCCCTCCCCACCCCTCCAGCCATACTGGGGATTGAAACCCAGGGGTACAATATCCCTGACCTATATCCCTAGCCCTTTTTATTTTTTGAGACAGGTTCTTGCTAAATTACTGCAGCAAGTCACTGGGATTACAGCATGTACCACCATGCCTGGCTGTTGCTGTGGCTTCTAAGCTGCAGTAAGTGCTCAGGCCTTATATGGCCTTTAGTAAATCAGGGAGAAAGAATGAAGATGCCTTCCAGATCTAGCATAACTGAGGTTTTGTTGGATATATCATTGAAAAGTTATTCAGGTTTTGAATCATTATAGTTGATAATAGTCTTTAAGAATTAGAAATTTTTTGACTTTTGTGTTTAGGGGGAAAAGGAAAGTTGCAGAGACAGAAGTAGGTAGGAATTTGCTACTGTGGTAAGCAGAAAGGACTAACTGGTCTCTGAGGACTAACGTTTTCTGGCTGTCATCTGTATTGAAACTTCAGCTATTTTTTTAGAGGGCATTGCTGAAATAGGGTCACAAGAGTGTGCGTATGTATGTGTCCTATGTTTACTTTCCTTTGGGGGAGGATAAAGAGTGTCAATGAGTTATAATCTTCTTAATCTATTTCTTCAAGGCAAAAGGATGCACGTGCAGTTGTCTACCAGCCGGCTTCGAACTGCCCCTGGGATGGGAGACCAGAGTGGCTGCTATCGGTGTGGGAAAGAGGGTCACTGGTCCAAAGAGTGCCCAGTAGATCGTACTGGGCGTGTGGCAGACTTTACTGAGCAGTACAACGAACAGTATGGAGCAGTGCGCACACCCTACACCATGGGCTATGGGGAATCCATGTATTACAATGATGCCTATGGAGCACTCGACTACTATAAGCGCTACCGGGTCCGCTCTTATGAAGCGGTGGCGGCGGCGGCTGCTGCTTCTGCATACAATTATGCAGAGCAGACCATGTCTCATCTGCCTCAAGTCCAGAGCTCAGCTGTGACCAGTCACCTCAACTCTACTTCTGTTGATCCCTATGACAGACACCTATTGCCGAACTCTGGTGCTGCTGCTACCTCAGCTGCTATGGCTGCTGCTGCCGCCACCTCTTCCTCCTATTATGGAAGGGACAGAAGCCCACTGCGTCGTGCTACAGCTGTGCTCCCCACAGTTGGAGAGGGCTACGGTTATGGGCCAGAAAGTGAGTTGTCTCAGGCTTCAGCAGCTACACGGAATTCTCTGTATGACATGGCCCGGTATGAGCGGGAGCAATATGTGGACCGAGCACGGTACTCAGCCTTTTAAAAACTGGAGGTGAGAGTGGGGTGGGTGTGATTAAGAGATTCCATTTAGTTCCCTTGCAAGAGACCTTCATAGAGGAGGCTAGAGGTACTTGTTTGCTATTAGAACAGAATCCAAAAAGTACTAATTATGTGTTATTCTTTATTATTTCTCTAGCTTAGGCCACAGGTTCACTTGGCCTGTTGAGGTTTTAGCGTGTGACTTCACATACTAAAGTTTCTTAGGAATAATATTCCTATAATCAGTTGTAAATCCACTTGAGTTGCAGAAAAACATTTAAGATAACTAATGTTTGTTTGGTGACCTGTGTATATTAATATCTAGACAGTAAGAGATATTTCTTTATACAGGAAGGGAACTAAGGCTCCAGGGACTCAGTAGTTTGCCCATCATCATTTGGTAAATGAGGGAGGTGAAGCCAAAATTCAAATTCAAGCCTGACTCTTAAAATTCCCACTAACAGTCAGTGTGGTATTAAGCTGAAGGGTACAGGTTCAGGATCAGGACTTAATGATGGAAATCACAGAGTATTTGCTAATAAGATTGTTTATTGGGTCACTAGCCTTTATCATGGAAGCTCTTCAAGTATGATATCTGCAAGCCAGATAAAGTCCTATAAATGTTAAGTGTCTCTAATTCTAAGATACTTGTTTGTTGAATGTTTGATGCTCTGCCCCATGTAGTTCTTTCCTTATTCAGATCTAGAGCATTGGAGTGCTTAACCCCTATTTTCTTGTAACCTGTGATACGTTTCCCATTTCTTTCAGCATTTTGGGTTTTTTGTGTGGGAACACTACTTAAGGAATTAGAAATTGGCAATCTTCTGATGTACATAAAATCCTATAGGTTGTGACTCTGAAAAGTTAATGTTCCTACTTCAGGAATTGTGTATCAAAGTTGCTAAGTTACTGCAAGTCACTGGGGTAGGAAATATTGAGTATTGAGTTAATCAGAGTGGAAACAGCATCATGACATTATATTTTCATGGTTTTACTTATACTTTGAAATTGGGCATCACTTGAATTTGAGCTCCAGTAGCAAGGTTAAACCAAATTACTACTGAGCTTCCAAGATTTCAAGTTATCCCCTCTTTGGTATAGGTGTAGAAGAAAGAAAAGCTACAGAATTTGCTTTTTGTGAAGTGAGAAGCACTGTGTCATGAACCTGTGATTTTATATCTTATATGACCATGTCAGTAAGACTTGGGATTTCCTGAGACCACTGTGCAGCAGTGTGTTCATTTGTGTGAAGTAGATTAAGCTTAGAAGCTATGGAGTTTGCCATTAATTTTTACAGCTGGATCTACCGTGAGTTGAGATGCGTCTGAAGTGAAGTAAGTTGTTATCAATCTATCAGATAACTTCTGTTTCTTTTAAGTATGTTTCAAAGTTAATTTTTAAATTAATATATTGTGGTCTTTAAGGGGTATTGATACATCATTTTAAAAGTGAATTTTAACTGAGAACAGTGGTTGTTCAACTAACCTCTTTGTAGTGATGACTTTTAAAGAAACTTACCTTCCAGGTGTGAACCTCAAATGGACTGAATAACCCTGAGTTGGTTGCAGTCCCAGGAGCCTGATGTTAATGAGGCTGCCAGGAGGAAATACTCCAGAACTGTTGGGGATCCAAATTCGGGTCTCACTAGCAGAACTGATCCAAGAACGTCACAGCTTTTGAAGTCGATTGGCACAGATCAAGACCAAGATTTGGCCCTTTGTCTGTAATAAGTAGAGGAACTTGGTGTGAGTTAACTTCTTTTTTCCCCCAGCCATTGGTGTCTGGAGTTTCCATCATCAATGGAAGAATTAGAGAATTCTAGCAGTGATTTCTTCTTTCGATTTGGCAAGGGAGATTTGGTCAATTAGAGAAAACACTGGAACTGTGGTTCTAAATCTGTGACAGTGTGACATGTAGTTGTGTTAGAGATTGGTGAATGACCCACTGTTCCTTGAGAACTGTACCTTTTACAAATGTCATTTCTAAAAGTTTACTATGAAAAATTAAAAATGGGTGTGGTTATTTGCACCTATAGTCCCAGCTACTCAGAAGGAACACTTATAAGCCTAGGAAAATTCAACCAGAGCAACATAGTGAAATTCCATATCATTTTTTTAAAGGGGAAAGTAGAACAATTGGCCATATTTGAGATCTCAGTATCTTCTGCTTTTCCCAGATCCAAAAATTAAACTGTTATTTTTGTTGATACATGTTTGCCCTTTGTTGGAGCAATAGAAGCCTTCTGTTAAAGAGGTTATTTTGCCGGGCGCCGTGGCACACACCTATAATCCCAGCGGCTTGGGAGGCTGAGACAGGAGGATCACAAGTTCAAAACCAGCCTCAGCAACTTAGCAAGGCTGTAAGCAACTTAGTGAGACCCTGACTCTAAATAAAATATAAAAAGGGGCTGAGGATGTTGCTCAGTAGTTAAGCTCCCCTGGGTTCAATCCCTGGTATCAAAAAAAATAGTTATATTGCTTAAAAGATGGCTAAGAAAATGAGAAAGTTGAATTTATCACTAACACAGCAGACTTTCACCTAGATTACATCTGTATGTCCTATATAGCTATTAGTATATTCCTTTATAGACCTATTTAATAGAACCCTAGATGATTTTGTGGAATATAAATTTGATCCAATCTGACTTGGTTTTGTTTTGTTCTTTGTTTTTTTCCCCCCCCTGGAATACAGGACGGGACCAGGGCCCTTGTACTCGGAGCCAAGCTGCTCTCCAGGCATTGTGTAAGCCTCTTGTGTTGTGCTCTCTTTCAGGTAGGATAATTGCGGACTGAACCCTCGGGCTGCGGTCATATATGAGAACTTGCTCCGCGCGGTCCCCTTTGCCGGGATGTTTCCATTGCTTCATGTTTCAGTAAACAGAGGAGTTTGAGACCAACTATGTTTTCTTTCTTAATTTAATTCTTCTAAGTTTACTTTTCTTTCCTCCTGATACTAGTCTTAGTAGCCTTTCACTTTGTTCCTTATATTCTCAGCCTCAGATCATCCCTAGGTAAGGATTATGCTGGCATTCCCTTTTTCCCTTTTTCCTGTACAGTGGAACCCCTCTTATCTTGCTTTCCCTAGGATTTGAACCCTTCCTCCCTACAGCATCTCCCTTTAAAATGACCATGTAGTGGCAAACAGCCTTTTACTCTTCTCTGTTAGCTCTGGACTCTTAACATTGAAGCTAATCTTCTGAAATTGCTAGGACCATTGGGGGTTTTGTTGTTGTTTTTGTTTGGGTTTTTTTTGTTTGTTTGTTTGTTTTTTTGGTCTGACCTGTGATCGTGGTACAGCGTTAGCTGAAATTTAGCCTTGTTTTAACTCCACTCCTCCCACTTTTTTTTTTAAATTTTTTTGACAAATAAATATTTCTAACACTGAAGTATCTTTTTGTTTGTATGATTGTTTTTACCACCAGAATCTTCTCATTCTTGTCCAGTGTGCTCAAACTACAAAATTCTAATCACTGAATGTCTCAAAACATACATGTAGAAGGAAGGAATTAGTGAGTAATATGGCTTCAGAAATAGGTGATAGTGAGAAATGCCAGAATATTGAGACACTGATGAATGTGTAAGCTGGTGGTCAGGCTTTTCTCTAAATAACCAGAATTGCTCTTGACAGTTTAAAGGCTAGAACTTAGATTAGTATAGTGATAGAAACCCCACAGGAAACTTTTGAGTCAGGAAAAGGCTCAGCCATAGAATATCTACAGGAACCTATCAGGTGACTCAATTTGACTTCATAGTTTGCTGGGCCGGTATAATGAACATATATTTGAGAGGCTGAGGCAGGAAAATCAGAAGTTCAAGGCCAGCCTTAGCAATTTAACAAAGCCCTAAGAAATGTCATGAGATCCTGTCTCAAAAAAATAAAAAGGGATTGGGATGTAGCTTGGTAACAAAGTACCCTTGGGTTCAATCCCCAGTACCCACACCAAGAAAAAGGGTGGGAGATAGGCCAGTTGCAGTGGTACACACTGGTAAACCCAGCTACTTAGGAGGCTGAGGGTGGGGGATTACAAGTTTGCAACCTGGGAAACTTAGCAAGATCTCATTTTAAAATAAAAGGACAAAGGGATGTGGCTTAGTGTTAGAGCACTTTTGTCTTGCATGCAAGAGGAGGCCCTGGGTTCAATCCCCTGCAGTAACAAAATTTTTATAAAGTGTCATAATACTTAGAACAGAAAAGCAAATAGTGGACTACGGCCATACCAAAAGAAAAAGAGAAAAAAAACAAATAGTGTTTTAATATACGGTGATAATATTGTATAGTAAAGCGTGTCTATATTTGAGGCTTTTTTTTTCTTTTCTTTTTTTTGTTGTTTTTCTGGATTTGGGATTGAACCCAGGGGTGCTTTACCACTGAGCTACATCCCCAGACCTTTTTACTTTAGTTTTGCTAAATTGCTGAGGCTGGCCAAGAACTTGGAATTTTGCCTCAGCCTCCCAAATAGCCAGGATTTCAGGTATATGCCACCATGGACAGCCTGGTTTTTTGTTTTCTTTAAAAAAAAAAAAAAAAAAAAAAAATCATTGTTCTGTCCCCATAAAATGAATACTTAATGATGGATTCAACCATGCTTAAGCTTTATTGTGACATATTACTTCTGGCTACATGTGAAATTTTACCTACAATTGTAGCATTCCCACATTCTCCCTACCTTAGGGATCAAACCAGGGCCTAGAGCATGCTAAGGACACACTTCACCCCTGAGCTACACCCTTCAGCCCTCCCATTTTATGCTTAAAATAGTCCTGGCAGGGTTCAGTGAAACAGAAGTTTTCCCTGATTTGGGAGACAAGGGCCTAAGGATGTGGTGATATAAAGATCCATGCCGGGGGGCTGGGGATGTGGCTCAAGCGGTAGCGCGCTGGCATGGCATGCGTGCGGCTCGGGTTCGATCCTCAGCACCACATACAAACAAAGATGTTGTGTCCGCCAAAAACTAAAAAATAAATATTAAAAAAAATTCTCTCTCTCTCTCCCCCCTCTCTTTAAAAAAAAAAAAAAAAGATCCATGCCCACTTTTCCAACTAGTGTATTTCATATAACTAGGGCCCAGATTAGCTTCAATGGGGACACAGGACTGACAGGACTGTCCATGTAACAAAAGAAAAGAAGGCAAAGATATGCTGGGATTTTTTCATGATTGATGTGCGTGATACCAGGCATAGCCAGCCACCACAATCTAATGTTAGGTTAGGTTTTGACCAACATATTTGCCAGATGTGGCGGGTGCATATCTGTAATCCAGTAACTCGGGGCTAAGGCAACAGGATCACAGGTTTCAGGCCAGCCTCAGCAACTTAGATCCTATTTGATGATTTTTTTTTTTAAAGGGCTGGGGATGTATCTCCGTGGTAAAGCACTCCTAGGTTCAGTCTCCAGTACTGAAAGGAAAAGAGAAGGAAGATGGGGGAGGGAGGGAAGGAAGGAAGGGAGAGAGAGAAAGAAAGAATAGCCCTGTATCCCTCCAAAGGATTAAGTTTTTAGCCAGTTAAAGAACTCCTGAGGGGCTGGGGTTGTAGCTCAGTGGTAGAGCACTGGCCTCACAAGCGTGAGGTTTGATCCTCAACACCACATAAAAATAAAGATATTTTTAAAAATTTACTGAGGTAGGGACAAATGTATTTATGTCTAAACCTCAGTTCTTACATGAGAAATTGCATGTTGTAGAAATCCTTTTATTCACCAAGACCAAGTTTCTTGTTGTAGACTACACTTCAGAGTTCCATGACTTCTCACACTAAAAGCTCCTAAATTCCTTTATCAACTGAATGAACTCCTACTGTACGCCAGAATCTGGGGATATAGTAATAAATGGAACTGAACATTCCTAATAGGAGAAGCAAACCTTAATTACATTTTTGGTAAGTACTATGGAGTGAAAACTATTACAGTGATATAGCAAGCTTAAGCAACTTAGCAGGACCCTAAGTTTTTCAAAAAGGTTGAGATGTAGCTAAGTGGAGAGCTTGCCAAGCATTCACAAGGCCCTGGGTTCCAGATCCCCAGCACACCAAAAGAACAAATCACAAGGACTGACATGGGAGTGTGGTTACAACAAAGTGGAGAAGGCAGCACATGTGAAGGCTCCTAAGTAAGATGCCATTAGGATCCAGAAAGGCAGCTCTGTGGCAGGGAAAAACTATATACAAGAAATCTGAAGAGGTAAGTTTATGGCAAGTCTTTAAGCTCTGTTAAGAAATTTCATTTTTAATCTTAGAATAACTGGAAGCTTCAGGTTTTAAGCTTAGGAATAACAGGCTGATTCTTAAAAGATTATGCGGGGGGGGGTGCGGAGGCTGGGGTTGTGGCTCAGCGGTAGAGCGCTCACATAGTACAACCCCCTGGGTTCGATTCTCAGCACTACACAAAATAAATAAATAAAATAAAGCTATTGTGTCCAACTACAATTAAAAAAAAAATATTTTAAAAAAAAAATTATGCCAGACAATGACACACACCTGTAACCTCAACTGAAGCTGAGGAAAGAGGAGCTAGCCTGGGCAACTTAAAGAGAACTTTTTTTTTTTCTTTTAATATTTATTTCTTAGTTCTTGGCGGACACAACATCTTTGTTTTGCATGTGGTGCTGAGGATAGAACCCGGGCTGTACGCATGCCAGGCAATCGCGCTACTGCTTGAGCCACATCCCCAGCCCTTAAAGAGAACTTAAAGAGGGCTGGGGATGTGGCTCAAGCGATAGCGCGCATGCCGCGTTCGATCCTCAGCACCACATACAAAGATGTTGTGTCCGCCGAAAACTAAAAAATAAATATTAAAATTCTCTCAAAAAAAAGTCTTTGTGTTTAAAAATAAATAAAATAAAGAGAACTTAATGAGAAAATATAAAAAGAGCTAGGAGTGCAGATCAGTGTTGAAATCCCTGTGTTCAATCTCCAGTACTGCCCCCCAACCAAAAAAATCACTGATCAGAAAGGAACAAAAGTGAACAGCATTTGTCTAATGTGTGAGAGGTCTTCTCCCCGAATCAGGAAGTCAGCAGAATTGATTCTTGTTTTTCTGGTACTAGGAATTGAACTCTGGGGTGCTGTGCCACTAAGCTACATTCCAACCATTTGCTAACTTGCTATCTTCCTGCCTCAGCCCCCCAAGTCGCTGGGATCACAGGTGTGTGCCACCACACCTGATTTAAAGTTTTATTTTAAAGGAAGAAAAGATACCTTTGTAGACAGGAAATGGACCATTCATGAGGATGTGAGATTCTGGGTACAATCCTGAGGTTGATCAAGTCATAAATAAGAAGACAGGCTGTTTCTCCAACCTTAATATTTGCTTAGTACCTGGTATAGGTCAGGGTTTGCTGGAAGGATTTGCAAAAAGCACCGTTGAGTGCTAAGGGGCAGAGGAGATGAGATAGGATCCCTCAGAGATCTTCAGAGACTACTGAGATTGAGTATAGTGGTTAGAAACAGGTCTGAGGTCAGAGTTCTGGGATTAGAATCTTATCACTACCACTTAAACTCAAATGAGACCTGACACAGATAATTGTACCAAACAGGATAAAATGGTAATTGTTATGAGAAATCTAAAACAGCTGTTAGAGTTGTGCCTTAAGATTGGCTTTTGCCTATAATACCACCAAGTCAGGAGGCCGAGGCAGGAGGATTGCGAGTTCAAAGGCAGCCTAAGCAATTGTGGGAGGCCCCAAGCAACTCAGTGAGACCTTCTCTCTAAATAAAATATTAAACATGTGGCTTACAAAAGATGTGGCATAATAGTTAAGCACCCCTAGGTTCAATCCCTTTTCCTAGTAACGTGCCCCCCACCTCCAAAAAAAAAAAAAAGACTTCTTTGAAAATGTCTGGAATAGAACTAATCTGTCCTACATAGACAGTGAATGTTTCTGAGGGATGGATGAAGGCTAAGGGGATGTCCCTGGCCCAGGATAGGGTTTATTTTCCCTTGGACTTCAAGTGCTTCTTAGAATATGACCACTGTACCTGGCCCTTGCTTGGGTGGATGCCCAGAACCCTGCCCTAAGTGGCTGACTACTCAGGAAGAAATTCATGAAGGCTTGGGTTACTGTTCTCCAAAACTGGGCCAGGGACCTTGGTTTTCATGATCCCTCACAAACATTCACTGCCTATGTAGGACAGATTAGTTCTATTCCAGATATTTTCAAAAAAGTCTGTTTTTTTTTTTGTTTGTTTGTTTTTGAGGGCGGGGAGCATATTACCAGGGATTGAACCTAGGGGTGTTTAACCACTATTAACCTGCAGTCCTAAGAGGACCCTACCTGTCCACATAGAGGGGAGGATTCCCAGCTCTTCATATGCTAAGGCCAACAAGGCTACCAGTGTGGTGGCTCTGGATGGTCATTGGAACTGGCATCAGGACAGTGGCTGAGAGAAT